TTTAATGTTTTTTATTCTAACTTTTTTGTTTTTTGAGATAAGTGCGTCATGTTTGGACTCATTTTAAAGGTTTTTTAATGAAGATGACAAATATGTCAAAATTGACGTTGACGTTTCAAACCGGAAGTGATTGTATTTCCATTAATATTAAAGTTAAATATGTCGAGTTTGGACTCATTTTAAAGGATTTTTTATGAAGTTGACAAATATGTCAAAATTAAAAGTTGAAAGTTCGAACTTTTTGGTTTTTTGAGATAAATGCATCATGTTTGGACACATTTTAAAGGTTTTTTTAATAAAGAATACATCATGAAAGAACACCATGAAGTTGTCCATTTGTCTATTATATGATAACTAACTTCAGGTTTAAAATGTCAACCTCAATTTTGACATATTTGTAATCTTCATTAAAAATCCTTTAAAATGAGTACAAACACGACATATTTATCTTCAATATTAATGAAGTTATGGTCAACTTCCGGTTAAGAATGTCAACGTCAATTTTGACATATTTGTAATCGTCGTGAAAAATCCTTTAAAATGAGTCCAAACATGATACGTTTAATTCCAATATTACTCGAGATATAAGCAACTTCCGGTTTGAAATGTCAATGTCATTTTGACATATTCTTAATTTTTATAAAATGTCTTAATATTTGTCACAAAAACAAAAATATAATAAAAAAAAATCAAAAATTAAGGTTGGTATTAATATTTAAAAATTAAATTGCTATCTTCATTGTTGCTAACTTCGGGTTTAATGTTTTTTATTCTAACTTTTTTGTTTTTTGAGATAAGTGCGTCATGTTTGGACTCATTTTAAAGGTTTTTTAATGAAGATGACAAATATGTCAAAATTGACGTTGACGTTTCAAACCGGAAGTGATTGTATTTCCATTAATATTAAAGTTAAATATGTCGAGTTTGGACTCATTTCAAAGGATTTTTTATGAACTTGACAAATATATCAAAATTAAAAGTTGAAAGTTCGAACTTTTTTGTTTTTTGAGATAAATGCGTCAAATTAGACTCACTTTAAAGGTTATTTTATGAAGATTACGAAAATAATAATAAAATTAAAGTTGATTCAAGTTGTTTCACCTTTACCTACCAGACAGCATGAAAATCTCTAAAAACGATAAAATGTCGCTTAGTTAAGAGATGTATAACGCGGTCCAATTATAAATCGGAACAACAAAAACCGTATCTTTTTTACTACACTAATAACATGAAAAATCGAACGCATTTTTCGGCTTTATCTCGAACCTGAAATAGGCGACGATATATTCTCTTTTTATTAGAAAACAGATACCGGGGACTTTACGGTACCAGGAAATTGTTATGGACGCGATTTTACAACCGCCTTAAAAATAAAAAAATACCGTTACCGATTTACGATCTATTCATAGTATTTATTTCGATGTAAACGGTTTTTATTCGGCGATAACACGATAAATGTAAGGATTCTAATCCGGTTAAATATGACCATATTTGCGCACCCTTTACCAATTCGGACGAGTTTTTTTTTCCTAACCCAATTAAGCTCGGAGTTTGCACAAAATGCGGTCTTTGCAGTCTCCTCGTTTTGAGGGGTTACGAAACTCCATCCGACGAACCGGAAAAACAAACACCGAGGAAACATGTTGTTTGCTTCGGGATCACGGGTAACAAACATCAGTCAGCGAAAACGCCCCTTCTACCAAAATCGAAAGCAAAAAATCAATAGAGTATAACAAAAATATTCTTCTTTTATTATCTCAACAATTCATTTATTAACTTATATTAAAAAATACAGTGTATATTAATTATCGTAACCGACGTCATCATTGCAAGTATGCAACCAATATCACAGTATTGGTATTGCAATACGCAAATCGCGATATTGGTTGCATACTTGCTATGATGAATTCGGGATAATTAATTAACACACTGTGTATTAAGTTGCTGAGATGGTCTTTAGACAATAGCAACAAATAGCAGAGGAATAAATACGGACAAAAAGTAAGGTTTCGAGCAATTGCTAGCTACTCTTTTTTAGAACAAAAGTTGTAGCAAATTTTATTCTTAACAATATTGCCCTCTTGTACTTTTACTATTAGATGCGTCAATATCGAGAAAACTACGAAAATTTGAAAATGGGATGAATTTGTTGTTTTTGCAAGTACTTAATGGTACCACTCGGAAAACAGAGCCTGTTATAAAAAAACTTTTAGAACAAAAGTTGTAGCAAATTTTATTCTTAACAATATTGCTCTCTTGCACTTTTACTATTAGATGCGTCAATATCGAGAAAAATACGAAAATATGAAAATTGGATGAATTTGTTGTTTTTACAAGTACTTAATGATACCACTTGGGAAACAGAGCATGTTACAAAAAAACTTTTAGAACAAAAGTTGTAGCAAATTTTATTCTTAACAATATTGCTCTTTTGCATTTTTACTATTAGATGCGTCAATATCGGGAAAAATACGAAAATATGAAAATTTGATGAATTTATTGCTTTTGCAAATACTTAATGGTACCACTCGGAAAACAGAGCATGTTATAAAAAAACTTTTAGAACAAAAGTTGTACCAAATTTTATTCTTAACAATATTGCTCTGTTGCACTTTTACTATTAAATGCGTCAATATCGAGAAAAATACGAAAATATGAAATTTGGATGAATTTGTTGTTTTTGCAAGTACTTAATGGTACCACTCGGTAAACAGAGCATGTTCTAAAAAAACTTTTAGAACAAAAGTTGTTGCAAATTTTATTCTTAACAATATTGCTCTCTTGCACTTTTACTATTAGATACGTCAATATCGAAAAAAATACGAAAATATGAAATTTGGATGAATTCGTTGCTTTTGCAAGTACTTAATGGTAACATTCTAGAAACGGAGCATGTTATAAAAAAACTTTTAGAACAAAAGTTGTTGCAAATTTTATTCTTAGCAATATTGCTCTCTTGCACTTTTACTATTAGGGGCGTCAATATTGAGAAAAATACGAAAATATGAAAATTTGATAAACTTGTGCAAGTACTTAATGGTACCACTCGGGAAACAGAGCGTGTTATAAAAAAACTTTTAGAACAAAAGTTGTAGCAAATTTTATTCTTAACAATATTGCTTTCTTGCACTTTTACTATTAGATGTATCAATATCGAGAAAAATACGAAAATATGAAATTTGGATGAATTTGTTGCTTTTGCAAGTACTTAATGACACTTAATGGCTCCACAACCTATAATCGAGCCCTAGCATTCCTAAATTTTGCCTGCAAGCCTTTTTTCCTGACCATTTCACAGAAATCATTAAAGTAGTATAATGGTGTTATAGAAAGTGATGTCAAGGACACAAATTTTAAAATAATATACAACAGTTTTTTAATAATATTTTATTAGAACTCAAACAATGGTAATACTAGGAATACTAAACTACACACATAAAATCAACTAAAATAAATTTTTGGATGCTTTTCCAGCTCAAATACTAAATTGATAAATCTAAAAAACACTTAATCATCATTATTATCTGTTCTTTCGTGCGGTAAATTAAAATAAAAGAAGTGGTAGTCTTGATTCAGAGCTGGAGGTTTGGTAGTAAACAGTGACATTAAATCCTTGTATTTTCTTTCAGTGATTTCTTTTTACAGTCTACTCTTTTAAAATGCTTTTCTGTAAATTATTTCTTAAATTCAAATTGAATTTCCTTTCCAAACTGAAATTTTCTGGAATAGTACCGGTTTCTTTTCAGTGTCCACTTTCCTTATTATCATGTGATTATCGGCTACATCTTTCCTTGTCAAAAAAGTCTTTGCATGCATCTTGTATGGTTTATGTCCACTCTTTCTAACATGAACTTTCCAACAATGAAATCACATTCCATTTCATTGTGGCAAAACTAAACTTCAATGCTTTTTAAATGTTTTACTTTTTGTACAACATAATACACATCGCTACAACATGCTTATTTAAGTTTTGACCAATCCAACGGTCACTGAAAGATCTGATCTCTTCTATTGATTCAGGAAGAGATTGAAAGTATTTAAAAAGCAGGCTAGCTACTTCACAATTGCCTCTTCCTCCTTCTCCTTCATGCCACATAAAGCAATCTCCTTCAGTGGTTGTTGAATTTTATAAATTGTGAATCGTTATTGGTTGGGTCACTCGTACAAAGCAAGACTTGTTACAAATCAAAGTTGCAGCTCAAAACATTTTCACCTGCAATAGTATCTTCCTTATCTTGCTTCTTAGCCTCTCTCGCCTCTTGTTTGGAATTTTGGTGAGTTTCCTTTTAGTCTAATAACCACCAATAATTGGTCCGATGCTTACGTCATTTTTTGGATAACAAAGAATGTTGCAGTCCTTTTAGATTCTTGCTGTCAAGTTAAATATTTATCTATAATTTTTTTAGTATGGTTAGATCGACTCGATGGGTATCAAGCACGCAAATTAACCTGGCGTGAAAAATACGTTTTAGTATAAATATTTTCTCTAATATGATGTTGTACCGGCTCCTCCACCAAAATTATTTTAATTAAAATTAACTAAAATAAATATACAATGATGAATATAAGAATAGAAAAACATAGCAAATCGTGTAGTTGTCGGTTTTAACCGCAAGGGACGTCAGTGACGTGGACGGGGGGTTGGCTACAAGACAAAACCGCACCTATGCGAGAGAGATATATGGTCGTAATTAGATAAAGTTCCGTCGGGCTGCGGCGGAGTTAATCTGACGGTCCAACTACAAACTCCCGGATCTGCGATAGGAATGTATTATACATCGGGGTGGTTTTCCAACGTTCCCCAGTGGCGTGCACCGGGGTGAGGGGTGAAAACCGTCCCCCAGAAGCCACTCCGACGTCCTTCGCTGCCAATTAGACTAACTGCGTCCGGACGCCTAATGGGGGAGGTCATCTGGATAGCTTTAATACTGATTGGATCGATTTTTAATTAAAAAAAAAACTGAATTATTAAAGAATTAATTATTTCGTTTTATTTTCAGACTGAAATTGCAAAGAGACTGAACGCAATAATAGCCCAGATTTTACCATTTTTATCGCAAGAACACCAACAGCAAGTAGCCGGAGCGGTTGAAAGAGCGAAACAGGTTACGATGACGGATCTCAACGCGATCATAGGGGTGAGTAAAAATGAAATAATCGAATCAAAAATATTTAATAGGTATTAATTTCGAGCTTTATAACTTTTCGACTATTTATTTATAATATTTGTTTATGTATAAATTTGCGAAGCCGCATTTTCAATATTTTCGCATCGAAATATTATCAAATTTTACGAACGTGTGTACCGAGTTGTGTGCAATTCGCCGGATAAACCGCCGACACATTTTCAAACTTGTATTACTACCCGTGTTTGGATCGAATGAGTTTTAGATTATTTTATATTTATATAAAAACTCGAATTCGATACAAGGTTTACCGACAAATTTGTTCGTAATACGCGTTGGCCCTACCGTTAAAATAAAATATTTATTTTTGTTCAATGGCATTTTGCTTTTAATTACTTTTCGATAAAATCACAAAGCACTCGAATATTATAAATTTATATCCACTAGATAAAAATAAAATACTTTACAACTTATTTAAAATATTATATCGCGTTTTAGTGGGGGAGAATTAAATTTTAAAACTTGATTTTCAACTTTATCTATATAAATATTATTATATACATACAGGGTGTATCTGAATGACTGCAACAAACTTCAAGGGGTGATTCTTTAGTGAATTTTAAGGGTACTTTGATATATGAACCATGGGCGACTTCGTCTCCCCTAACGAGCTATTTGTTTTTCTCAAAAACCATAAACGTTAGGAAAATGAAATTTGGGGAATATGTTTAACTCATAATAGGGCATGTTTTGACCCTACTTGTACTTTCAACCTACCCTTCTAAACTACTAAACGTAACCACCCCCTTTACATTTTTGCTAATATTTTTTTTATGCAGATGATAAATACATTAAAAAAATTTTATCTAGGTAGATGAAAGTATCCTAAAACTTTTTTGTCTCTCTAAAATTTTTCCAAAAACGACTAATTTTTGAGAAAAAAAATAATAAAGCAAACACTGCACGTTAAACAACGGGGTTGTCGATCAAAAGTTGGAATGAATTTTTAATGAAAAAATCTTAGTAGGCTTTGCAATCTTTGTCAGAAATATTTTTGACGTTTAAATGTCAGTGTTTTTCTTACTATTATTATTGTTTTTCAAATTAATTTTTGAATAAAGTTCTATCGCATTTACGCTCGTTCACTCGACGTTTCAAAATTTTAAATAAAACAATAATAATAGTAAGAAAACCACTGACATTTAAACGTCAAAAATATTTCTGACAAAGATTGCAAAGCCTACTAAGATTTTTTCATTAAAAATTCATTCCAACTTTTGATTAACAACCCTACAGCTTAACAGTTAGTGTTTGCTTAATTATTTTTTTTCTCAGAAATTATTAAATTTTCGAAGAACATCAGAGAGACAAAAAAGTTTTAGAATAGTTTTATCTATCTAACTGAAATTTTTCCAATGTATTTATCATCTTCATAAAAAAAATCTAGGCATAAATTGAACGGGGGTGGTTACGTTTAGTAGTTTAGAAGGGTAGGTTGAAAGTACAAATAGGGTCAAAACGTGCCCTATTATGAGTTAAACATATTCCCCAAATTTCATTTTCCTAGCGTTTATGGTTTTTGAGAAAAAAAAATTAAACCAAAATTTTCCGCCATTTTTAAAGGGGTGTAGCTCCTTAGGGGAGCCGAAGTCGCCCATGGTTCATATATCAAAGTACCCTTAAAATTCACTAAAGAATCACCCCTTGAAGTTTGTTGCAGTCATTCAGATACACCCTGTATAATATACAGGGTGTGTTAAATGTGTGGAATATAGCCAATAACTTCACCATTTGTGATTTTAAAGAAAAATGTTTCAAATACAAGAATTTTGTCGGTATTTGCTTGTTTGTATTGTTATTTGTTTCGTTGCTATGGCAACAAATATTGTTATTTTAAATGGCATTTGTTTAAATTGTCAATTTTTTTGACATTTAAAGCTGTCAAATTAGGCGCTATTTTGGCGCCTACTTTGATTGTAATTTGCTGATTTATTATTTTCACAGAACGCATTTTTTTTCGATTTTTTTCTTATACAATCATACGATTTTATATGTTCATCGCGTAGAGGGATTTATCTTCTATCAAAATATGCAAAAAAACATATGAATCCCATAAAATTCATTAAAATAACAATGTTGGTTGCCATAGCAACGAAACAAAAAACAACGTAAACAAGCAAATATCGCCAAAAAATGCGCCACAATTAATAAAGAAACTTTTATTTGAAACATTTTTCTTTAAAACCACAAATGGAGAAGTTATTGGCTATATTCCAAAAATTTGACACACCCTGTATATACAGGCTGTTCGGAAATGACGTAAAAGACCACAAGTACTGACCAAACATATGATGATTTAACTCAACTTATCTATATACAAAATTGCTTAGTTTAGCCGCTAGAGGGCTTTAAAAATAATATTTTTATTTAAATTTGTATAAATAAGTCGAAAAATCCTCCATGGATTTTATTCATTTTTTGTATTAGTAGTTTGTATCAGTAGACTACAGCTATTTGTGGAATAAACTTTAATTTCGAAAATTATAGGGTGTTTAAAAACTTTGTCACAATAAATTATGCAATCATATCTTTTTAACCCCCTTTATAAACACTACCATTTTAATTTAAAAACTATTTTCTCTCTTACAAAATTTCAATTGGGTGAACGGTTTAGCCACAAAAGTTTTTTTAAAAGTTGGCTAGGTATAATTAATTTCAAAAACAAAAACAGTTTGTCACTTAAACTTACAGCGGTATTCGTATTTTTCGTTTTATCTTTGATTCATCATGAATTTTTAAAGCCCTCTAGCGACTAAACTAAGCAATTTTGTATATAGGTAAGTTGTGATAAATCATCATATTTTTGGTCAAGGTACTTGTGGTCTTCCGTTGTACACGTCATTTCCGGACAGCCTGTATAATATACAGTTATTAATATCCCCTCACTAAACCGTTTGAAAAAGAAAAAAATGTTTTATACAAAAGTTGTTTAACTCACCACTTTCTATCACATAAAATTATTTTCACTTATACAGGGTGTTCCATTTAGACGTAACGGAGAGTATGTAGTTTTTTTAATGGAACAGCCTGTATATTTGATCATATTATGAATAAAATTAAATTTATTTATACAACCGTATATGTTACTAACTCATAGCGTTCATAGTTTCTGAGATATTCAATTGTTTTTCCAAAATGTGTCCATTGCAGGATCTTTTTTAAAACGATGTAAAAACGACATTTTTTCCAATTTTGCCTTGAAACTATGTCAGATAATAGTCAAAGCAAGTAGGTATATGATAGTATACAAAGATATTAGATACGCTATACAGCGTGTTCATAAACTTAGTTCCTTTTGATGTTTTTCAAATGACTTCAAAACTTTAGTACTTTTCCTGATATTTAGAATTTAAAGAATAAAGTGTAATAAAATATGCGTTATTGTACTTAATATTATATTCTGTCTATAGTTTCTTGCTGCATTTCTTTCAAATTATTTGGTAATTAAAAAAGGGATTTATTGTTCTGCCATTTAATTGTATTTTTTGTATTTTTATCACGTTTTGATTACTTATTTATTAAAGTTTTCTTTTAATTGTATTTTAATATATTATTAATTTACAAATGACAGACAAACAAAAAGAAAGCGTCAAAAAAAGGACAGAATATATTACATTCTGTAACTTTTTTAAGTACAATAATGACATTTTATTACACATTTTGTTTTAAATTCTAAATATCAGGAAAACTATTAAAGTTAAACATATGACGTACTTATCATTAATTAAAGGAAACTTGACGAGCAATTCAACTAGCACATAATATACAGTGTGTTCCATTTAAAACATTTAAGAGAAAGCCATTTGAAAAACATCATATACACCATGACAGTAACTAAGCGTTATAAACACCCTGTATAGTGTATCTAATATCTTTGAATACTATCATCTACCTACTGGTTTTGAGTATTATCTGACATAGTTTCAAGGCAAAATTGGAAAAAATGTCGTTTTTACATCGTTTTTAAAAAGATCCTGCAATCGGCACATTTTGGAAGAACAATTGAATATCTCAGGAACTATGAACGCTGTGAAATAGTAACATATACGGTTGTATAAACAAATTTAGTTGTATTCATAATATGATAAAATATACAGGTGTTCAATTTAAATAAATTGACGTACTCTCCGTTACACTTAAATGGAACACCCTGTATAAGTGAAAATAATTTTACGTAATAGAAAGTGATGAGTCAAACAACTTTTGTATAAAATATTTTTTTGATTTTCAAACGGTTTAGTAAATATCGACCGCAGGGATACTAATAACTCACCCTGTATATAATATACAGGGTGTCACACAAAAAACGCCCCAACTTTGTTATTTACATTCCGATTTTCATGACCTAGGTATCAAATGAAATGGTTTTATAAATACTACGATTCATGCTACAAATAAATTTTTTCCAATGCCATATTTAATTTTAAGCGATTATTAACTTTTGTTTTTTAAATTGCATTTATTTTATAATAAGCGATTTGCGATTTGCAATACCAATACTGTGATGTTGGTTGCATACTTGCAATGGTGACGTCTGATACGATAATTAATTAACACACTGTAGATCAAGAACTAGAAACAATCGGATTTAGCCGTCTTAAAAGACGTGCGGCTAAATCCGAATGTTTCTAATTCTAGATCTAGTGATATTATAAATTTATATCCAAATATATTCAAGTATTGTATCGGGTTTAGTGGGGAAGAATGAAACTTTAAAGGTTGCTTTTCAACTTCATCTATTTAAATATTATTATATACATGAATATATAAAAAAATAACACAAAAAACGTTTTGATTTAAGTTGTAATTGAGCAAATCATGGCACGGAAGTAATCGTTATCTTTTCATTTACCATTTTCCACCATCTCCGTTCCAACCACCTCCATTCCAACCACCTCCATTCCAACCACCTCCATTCCAACCACTTGGGTGCCATGCTGTTCCTTCTTGGATTACTTTTGCGTTGAATCCGCCTTTATCAGCTTCGTATTTGACGATTCTTCTTGTTCCATCGGCTTCTTTTAAGGAATATTGACCCTTAACTGCGTCTCCTACACGTTCTTCGGTTTGTTCTTTTCTATCGCCTGTATGGCCATCGGAAACTCCATAACCAAAGGAGTATTTAGCTGGAGCCCAATCGTCTTTTCCGTCCCATCTTCCATCATCTCCTCCCCAACCTTTTCCACCACGTCCATCATTCCAACCTCCATTCCATCCACCATTCCATCCACCATTCCATCCTTTATTCCATCCTCCACCGTTCCAACCACCTCCCCATCCTCCAACTCCACCCCATCCCCTTCCACTATTACTTTGCCAATCTCTTCCAGTCCATGATCTTGCGTCCCAACAATGAACCGAACACAAAATAAATGCTAATAGGAATATCTTCAACATTTTTGTAATACTTGGATTGGTTCTTAACTGTTTTAGTTCTGGATGTGAACTGAGTCTCGATGTTTAACACTGGGGATTATATACCAGTTGAGATAATGAAAATTTCACGTTCACTGCATCAAAGTTTTGCGTTTGTGGGGAATTTCAAAAAAATTCTCGCCCCATGCGAGAATGTGTTGTGTTGACCATGTGCACGTTCTATTCGTTGTAACCGACGCGATTTGAAAATTCTGATCGCTTTCGTAACAGTTTGGAGGTTGTCCACTACAAAACTACCGGTTTTGCATATGTGTGTAACGAAAAAAATTATTATGCGTGTAACCTTAAATTAATTATTGCATCTAATTAATAATGAGAGATTGTTTTTGTAATTTATTAGTTATAAATTAATTAAGATGTTCTGAATTAAAAAAAAACATCTTTGTGACCGCACCCTACTTATTAGAAATGTCTCACCTAGATATTTATTATCTCAAATTCGAGTAATTCAAATTCCAACGGTTATTACGCAAAATATTTGTTGTTTATTAATCGAGGTCTTAAAATAGAACACAAGTTGGGTAACGAGGAAACGGCAGCAGCTTTTGTAAACCAAGGCTAATGCTAATTTCGTTAATTTGTAGGTTAGATAATTTATTATTAACTCGGTTTGCTATAGAACATTTAGTACAAAATTGCTTTTAGGAGTTACGTTCCGTTTCGAACTCAACAAGATGCTAATTTAGCCAATTTGTAGGCCGCGTTTCTGCGGTAACTACCGACACCGACCCCCTGGGTCGTTCGGGGGGAGGGTCATAGGTCAAGGGTACTTACTCGAAGTGCTGCCATCTCGCCCGGTCAGTTAGCCAGCAACGTATCGAGCACATGTTTGCCCATGTAATTACCCCATAACACAACCCGGTAGCGGTGTGATATCCCGCCCTGAATTCACATGGTAGATTTACCAATTTACATATGCGTCTCGTATTATGATTATATTAACATAATTAAGCAAAAATTTTATTATTTCCGCTTAATTTAACCATACACAAAAGCCCTCTACGGTTAATTGTGTTCGTTCACTTTACAACCTTGCCAATTTTTTATAAAACTCCCTATATAAACTCCTTCTAACTTGAAACATTCATCACATTAAACCAAAACGATAAACCAATAACACCAATATGTTAAAAATATTCTTTTTGGCTTGCATTATTTGCTGTGTCCATTCATGGGATGCTAAATCATGGACCGGTAGGGATTGGCAAAGTAATAGTGGACGCGGTTGGGGTGGGGGTGGTTGGAACAATGGTTGGAATGGAAATAAATGGGATGGTGAAGATGATGGTAGCTATAAAGGTGATAATTATAATGATGGCGATGATGGTAAATGGAATGGAAATGGAAATGGAGGATGGGGTGGGTGGGGAGGAAATAATGGTGATGATGGTAAAGATCAATGGGCTCCAGCTCAATACTCATTTGGTTATGGAGTAGCTGATGGTCATACTGGAGATAAAAAAGAACAAACTGAAGAACGTCTTGGTGATGTTGTTAAAGGACAATATTCATTAAAAGAAGCTGATGGTACTAGAAGAATCGTCAAATATGAAGCCGATAAAGGAGGATTTAATGCTAAAGTTATCCAGGAAGGAACTGCTTGGCATCCACAAGCTAGAAGTTGGGGAGGTGATGATGGAGGATGGGGTGGAAAAGGAGGATGGAATGGAGGTTGGGGAGGAAATGGGGGATATGGAGGAAATAGAGGTTGGGGTGGAAATGGAGCTTGGGGAAAAAACTGGTAAAACAATCCAATTTTGGTGCCATAATTCTTGTACATTTTTAATTATATCTATCCTAGATTTTTATTACATAAATAGACGTTAATTTGCATTATTTATGGTTTTCCTTATTTAACCAACCATTTTGATTCATTTTCCACAATTATATTTTACTTCATTAATTACTCATACGTTTAGAGCGTAATGAATAGCTCAATTAAATTATAAATTAATTAATTCCGTTTGTAAACGGATTTAAAACTACCAATTAATTATTATACAAACACATAATCAAATAGATTAATGTCAAGCCTAAATAAATAATAGTTTACTTTGTATCTTATCATCTCCTCAACGCAATTTCAGACATTCTGTTGCAGTCCATATTTTAGATTTGTTTTTGAAGTTATCCCATCTTCATGAAAAAACGTGGAGTAATTTTAAAAATGCATCATGAAAACGAATCTCGAATTGCTAAATGCTAAATGTAATGTTTAATGCAATTTAAGACTTTTTCTTGCAATTGGAAGTTAGGCAATGTTTGAAGCATTAATCTTCTATACATTTTTCACCACTTAGAGTTTGATTAATATAATTCCAAGATTTTTCTTGCAACATGGCATCCATCTAATGCAATTTCAAAGAATTTGCTTTATATTTCGAGCATTGTCAGTGTGGCCAGACTTCTTTTTGTAGTCTAAAATGCAACTAATACAATTCCAGACTTTCTCTTGCAATTTAATATTAATATTTGGACCTCTGCCTAATCTCATTGTTGTGGTGTATCTAGTCGTTGTGATTTTAGACTTCTTTTTGAAGTAATTTCAAACACTACCTTACAATTTAAAATCTATCCAATGCAATTACAAACATCTTCTTGCTGTGTAATTCCAAAATTCATCTTAAATCCTGGAGAATAAATCCAGATCTTTTCTTGCAGTTTGAAGTATGACCAGAATAAATGCTATGTTTTTTTTTAATTTAGAATCATACCAGTACAATGTCCAGAATAAATCCAGACTTTTTCTTGTAGTTTGGATTTTGGCCAGAATAAATCTAGTATTTCTCTTAAAATCTAGAATTATACTAATAGAATTTCTTGCTATTTAGAAGTTTGTCGATGCAATTCTTGCTATCTAGAATATGTCCAATGTAGTTCCTTCGATGACTAACATCTTCTCAGAACAAATTTTTTTGCAGCTTATCACTGCGAAGCCCATCCTGAACTCAACCTGAACCCAACACGAATTCAACCTGAACCCAAGTCCAACCCAACCCAAAATCAACCCCAACCCAAACCTAACACGAACCCAACTGAATTGCTTTTAATTAACTGTGTTAAATCTGAAATAAATTTGATTGATTTAATTCCAAGATGTATCTTGCAATATATCTAATGCAGTTTCATAGAATTTTCTTTATATTTCGAGCATTGTCAGTGTAGCCAGACTTCTTTTTGTAGTCTAAAATGCAACTAACACAATTCCAGACTTGCTTTTGTAATTTAATACTCCAATAGTTGCATGTCATCTAAGAAATAACGTAGACAGTCTGCCTGGACTAACCTGTTAATACTTTTGCATCATAGAAAAAAATATATACATATTTCTTCACTATTTTGGTATATCTAGTCGTTGTGATTTTAGACTTCTTTTTGAAGTCTGGAACCTGACCAAGGAAATTTCAAACATTACCTTACAATTTAAAATCTATCCAATATAATTACAGAAATTTTCCTGCTGTGTAGAATCAAGTCGATGTCGTTCCAAACATTTTCTTCCAGTTTGGAATTCGTCCAACATTTTCTTGCAATCTGAAGTCTGTCCAGACTTGTTGTTGAAGTCTAGAGTCACATCAATGTAATTCCAGAGTTAATCTAAAACCTGGAGTCTTGTCCTGGAGAATAAATCCAGACTTTTCCTTGCAGTTTGGAGTCTGACTAGAATAAATACGATTTTTTTTTAATTTAGAATCATACCAGTAGAATGTCCAGAATAAATCCTCCAGACTTTTTATTGTAGTTTGGAGTTTAGCCAGAATAAAAGTATTTCTCTTAAAATCTAGAATTATACTATTAGAATTTCTTGGTATCTAGAACTCCGTAGATGCAATTTTTGACTTCCCCTTGCTATCTAGAATATGTCCAATGCAGTTCCTTTGAGGACTAACATCTCCTCAGAACAAACTCGAACTTTTTTGTAGCTTATCACTGCGAATCCCATCCTGAACTCATCCCAAACCCAATTCAAACCAAATCCGAACCCAACCTCAACCCGAACTCAACACAAACTTAAGACGCACCCAACTGGAATTCTACCTGAACCCAAGTCCAACTCGACCCAAACTTAATCGGAAAATAACCCAAACCTAATACGAACCCAACCTGAATTGCTTTTAATTAACTGTGTTAAAATAAATAAATTAAAACTCGCAAGTTTTGAGGTTAGAATAGAAATTATCATCAAAAAGCAGCTTTGAGAGTTTTTCTCAAAGTTATTTTACAGTATTGTCAATTTAATTCCAGAACTTATCTTATAATATAGCATCTATCCAATCCAATTTAACCTTTTCACAAATATTTGAGAATTGTTGCTGATATGTTGTGCGCCTAAATGCTAAATGTATTTAATTCAAGAATTTATCTTGCAGTGTGGAATTAATTGACTATAATTCCTAATTTTTTCCCAATGTTCAAAGTTTTGCCAGAATCGTTACAGACTTTGCTTTGAAATCTACAATATCATTAATCTAATTCCAGACATTTTTTACAACTTGGAGTTTATTAATATAATTCCAAGATTTATCTTGCCATATGGCATCTATCTAATGCAATTTCAGAGAATTTTCTTTATATTTCAAGCATTGTCAGTGTAGACACAGACTTGTTTTTGTAGTCTAAAATGCAACTAACACAATTCCAGACTTCCTCTTGCTATTTAATATTAATATTTGGACTTCTGCCTAATTTCACTGTTTTGATGTATCTAGTCGTTGTGATTTTAGACTTCTTTTTGAAATCTGGAACCTAACCAAGGTAATTTCAAACATTACCTTACAATTTAAAATCTATCCAATAGAATTACAGAAATTTTCTTGCTGTGTAGAATCAAGTCGATGTCATTCCAAACATTTTCTTCCAGTTTGGAATTCGTCCAACATTTTCTTGCAATCTGAAGTCTGTCCAAGCTTGTTGTGTTCAAATAAAAGCACCCTCCATTGAAAGCAGAACTATTAACCTCAAAACAGAAACTAAATACCTAGGGGTAATACTTGACAGTAAACGAAACTGGAACTCACACTTAGATAAGGTGAGGAAAAAGGCCATCATGGCAAACCAGATCTGCCGCAGGCTCCTAGGAAGGAACTGGGGTCTCAAACCACGAATGGCTCATTGGGCCTACGTAGCAATAATCAGACCCATGGTCGCCTACGCCTCATTGGTTTGGTGGCCAAAAACAAAACATAAGACAGCTCAACAACAGCTGGCACAAATCCAGCGGTTAGCATGTCTTAACATAACGGGTGCAATGAGATCCTGTCCGACGGCTGCTTTGGAAGCCCTACTCGGTCTCACACCGCTCCACATATATATACAAAAGGAGGCAGCCTTAAGTGCCTTATCACTGAAAACAGTTTCTTCACTCAAGTTGATGCAGGGTAATCTCAGAGGACACCTCGAGATCCTCAAAGACCCATGTCTAAATCACCTGATTGAAATTAAAACGGACCTTATACCGACGGAATACAATTTCAACCAACCGTATAAGGTCATATTTAGTAGCAGGGATGATTGGGCGAAAGGAGGGCCTCAACTAAAAAGAGGAGCCCTAGCCTGGTACACCGATGCTTCAAAGACAGTAAGATCTGGAGTAGGCATGGGCATCAGTGGACCAAATAGCCACATCAAATTGCCCCTCAGCTCGGACTTAACAATTTTCCAAGCAGAAGTTCTTGCTATAAACTTCTGCACCGCTTTGAACCTACAGAAGGGACAAAAAGGTGCATCCATAAACATTTTCACAGACAGTCGGGCCGCCTTAAAGGCAATTCAGGCCTACACGTGTGGCTCCGCACTGATCAGAGAGTGCACCAACAACCTGAGAGAACTCGCTAGGGGCAATGATGTTACCCTATGGTGGGTTCCAGGTCACAGCAACATTGAGGGCAATGAGAAGGCCGACAAGCTGGCCAAAGAGGCAGCAAACACGCCCTTCATTGGACCCCAACCTGGATGTGGACTACAAAAAAGCCACCTAAAACAAATAATCAACAACTGGGAGGCTTCAAAGATAGCCTTACGCTGGAAAGAACTTCCAGGTCACAGACAAGCGAAGAGTATGATAACTCCGTCGCAAAACAAAACCAAAGAGGTTTTATGCCTCAGCAAAGGGGATCTAAGAACGCTCTCAGGCTACCTAACCGGCCATGTGCCCCTAAAATACCACCTCTTCCACATTGGACAAGCTGAGGATCAAACTTGTCGACTATGCAACGACGAGTCAGAAACTGCTGAACATATACTGTGCAATTGCGTCGCCAGAGGACGTCTAAGGCACAACGTCTTCGGTAAAACTCCCCTGTTACCTACCGACATAAAGGTTCAAGACCTCAGGACAATACTAAGGTTCATTAAGGACCTACATTTGCCCTGCTTGTTGTTGAAGTCTAGAGTTACATCAATGTAATTCCAGAGTTAATCTAAAACCTCGAGTCTTGTCCTGGAGAATAAATCCAGATTTTTCCTTGCAGTTTGAAGTCTGACTAGAATAAATACGATGTTTTTTTAATTTAGAATCATACTAGTCATAATTTAGAATGTCCAGAATAAATCCTCCAGACTTTTTCTTGTAGTTTGGAGTTTAGCCAGAATAAAAGTATTTCTCTTAAAATCTAGAATTATACCATTAGAATTTCTTGCTATCTAGAACTCCGTAGATGCAATTTTTGACTTCCCCTTGCTATCTAGAATATGTCCAATGTAGTTCCTTTGATGACTAACATCTTTCCAGAACAAACTTTCACTTTTTTGCAGCTTATCACCACTAAGTTCATTCTGCACTCAATCCAATTCAAACCAAATCCGAACCCAACCCAACCCTAAGACGAACCCAACACGAATTCAACCTGAACCCAAGTCCAACCCAATCCAAATTTAATCTTAACCCAACCCTTAATTGCTTTTAATTAATTGTGTTAAAAAAATTATATAACTAAGACGGTTTAAGCGCAACTCGCAAGTTTTGAGGTTAGAATACGAATTATCATGAAAAAGAAGTTTTAGGAGTTTTCTCAAAGTTATTTTGCAGTATTGTCAATTTAATTCCAGAACTTATCTTGCAATATAGCATCTATCCAATGCAATTTTAACCTTTTCATAAATATTTGGGGAATTGTTAGTGTAGTCACAGACGTTTTTGCACTCCTATATGCAGTATGGAATTAATTGAGTAAATTTCTAGCTTTTTCCTAATGTTCAGAATTTTGCCAGCATCGTTACAGACTTCGCTTTGAAATCTGCAGTATCATTAATCTAATTCTAGACATTTCTAACAAGTTGGAGTTTGATCTAATGCAGTTTCAGAGAATTTTCTTTATATTTGGAGCTTTGCCAGTGTAGCCAAAGACTTCTTTTTGTAATGTAAAATCTTACTAATACAATTCCAGACTTGCTCTTGCAATTTAATATTAATATGTGGACTTCTGCCTAATTTCACAGTTTTGGTGTATCTAGTCGTTGTGATTTTAGACTTCTCTTTGAAGTCTGGAAAAAAAAAAATTAAAATCTATCCAATGCAATCATATCGGAGTCATTCCAAACATTTTCTTCCAGTTTAGAATTCGTCCAACATTTTCTTGCAATCTGAAGTCTGCCCAGATTTGTTTATGTTATGCAATTCCAGAATTCATCTTAAATCTTGAAGTCTTGTTCGAGCTTTATGTACTTGCAGTCGGATTCAGGAGTTTGGTTAGGATTCAACTGAAGTAGCCTAAGTATGGATACTTCTTACAATATTACAAGATTTGGGGATGTAGGTACATCAGAATTGCAATAATCTTCAACAACTAATTGTGTATTATATATTTGTGGAAAATAAAAAAATAATTATACTTCATAAATATCTATTTAAATATTACATAAACACTCACAATTAAGTACATGAGGAGTATGAACAATAATTACAGTGAAAGAGGATAAGAAAATAATAAAGATGAAAATGGCAACATGAAGTAATCGTAATCCTATCTATCAATTTACTTGTAATCCCATCAGATTTGACCCTTACCATTTTCCACCTCGACCCCAATCATCCCCATCTCCTTTCCAATCGCGTCTTCCAGCCGGATGCCAAGCTTCGCCCTCACGGATTACCTTCGCGTTAAATCCATTTTTATCGTCAGCTTCGTATTTAACAATTCTCCTAGTACCATCAGGTTCCACCAATGAATATTGTCCAACTACTCTATCTTTAACACGTTCTTCGGATTGTTCTTTTTTATCCCCTGTTTTTGCATCGGCTACTCCATAATTAAATTCGTATTTTGCTGGTGCCCATTCATTTTTACCATCGTCCCATCCACCATCATTTCCTCTCCAACCACCATTATTTCCTCCCCAACCACCATTATTTCCTCCCCAACCACCATTATTTCCTCCCCAACCACCATTATTTCCTCCCCAACCACCATCATTATTTTTTCCCCAACCTCCATCATTTCTTCCCCATCCTAGACCACCCCAATTTCCTCCACTATTGCTTTGCCAATCTCTTCCAGTCCATGATCTTGCACCCCAAGAATGAACGTGACAGATGATAAAAGCTAATAAAAAGATTTTCAACATGTTGATTTTTAATGCTTTTGATAGTATGACTATTGAGTTGAATAAGTCTGTGTTAACTGACTTGTAAATTTCATGGGTTTGGTTATTTATATACTCATGGTGGCGCTACTTTGGCTCGTTCATGCGGAACGAAATTTTCGTTAATTTGAACGTTTCGAAAGGTGGCGTTTGAAAGGTGGGAGTTGTTAAGGTCTTTAGTTTCTTTGTTTGGTTCATATGTGGGGAATATTTTTTAACCTAAAATTTAATCGGCTTAATAACATGATTTATTATCTTTGACCATATGGGCTACGTTGAGATATTTCTTTGTGATTTGTATTCAGGATGTGTATCACCAAATTGTTTTACCGATTCTTTCCGTTTCAGTTTGTCTATTTGATCTATTTTTCATTTCCCCCCTTTTCTCTATCCGTTTATATTCGTTAGGAAAGGGACGTAATCGCGGATTCATCCGTGTGATTGTTAATTTAAAAACTGTCTGAACGGAGAAATAATAAACCTTTTTGATTTATTTTTGCGATGGTAATAATTATATCGAATTTAGCCGATTAATTCAATGTTCGCGTACATTATTAGCAATTATTTTCATTGTGGCTTGGTTTCGAAGATAATCTAATAATCCGAATAGCGGATTTCGGATTAAATTTTTAGGGCAAATGGAAACGCGATAAAACCAATGCGCCGAAATCGAATAATTTTGGGTGGGAATTATATTTGCGAACCGTCGGCAATAACGCACCGAACCCGGTTTAATTAGCGCCCGCGCATGGGATAATAGTAATAACAATGGGACGGTTCGGCGGCCGATCAGAATTTGTTTTAATGGTAAATCAAATCGGGCTCGGTCTAAATTCGGAAAGTATTTACGACCGAGCCCATTATTAATTTCGCGGGCATTGTGCGTGTAATGGGTAACGGTAGACGTTGAATTTGGTCTCTACCCAAATTCTATATCACGGAAAATAGATTTTCCCATTTCGACCATCGATTATTTATGTATGTACCGATGTTAATTGAAAGTATATGTTTACGTTGGCTGCTCTCGCTTCGAAATTAATACGCCTCGATGAATTATGACCCATCCGATTTATAATTAATACCATTTTGAAGTTATTAAATCAAAAAATTATTATTATTCTCACTTTTTCTTGCCATTGCTCCTTTTAGTCAGTATAAGTCTATCCACAGTAACTCCAAAACTTTTCTTGCAGCTTGGAGTCTGACCAGAACAAATCCAAGTTTTTTTTTTAAATCTAGAATCATGCCAGTGGAATATCTTGCTATCTCGAATACGTTCAGTGCAATTCCATACATTTCCTTCATTCCTAGAGTCTGCCCAGAACAAATCCAGACTTTTTCTTGCAATTTGCACTTTGGCCAGAATTGACCAGAATACCAGAATAAATACGATGTTTTCTTTTAATTTATAATCATACCAGTACAACGTCCAGAATATCTCCAGACTCCAGACTATGTATGTATGTATGTATATATGGATTACCACACTTAGGCCCCATTGGACCTCTTGTGCATCCTCCCATCACACACTCTGGTTACATCAACCAGCCTAAGGATTTGCCAAAGACTAGGACATCTCCCAGAGGTGTGTTCCTGATATGATGAGGGGTAATCACCAGAGCCACGACGTTTCGGGCTGTTGATGTCACCATCTGTATAGAGCAGCGAACGGGTTATAGCGTAGTAGTAACATGCTTTTACCGAGCACATCGCTGTGCCGCAACGTATCGATACTGGTTGAATGCTGGCCCATATAAAATTTGGGGGGTTCTCTGCGGTACAGCGTTCAATACGTGTTTGGCCGATTGTCTGACTAAAACTCAACCAGTGGCGTGGTATACTATATATGGCGTGATGTGGTCCATGTGGCCCGAGTCTCTACCGTAAGGCGACGAGCCGGCAATGAGTTGCCCGACAACGTCGCGGCTCTGGTAATCACACAAGATGTGTCTGACCTTGATAAGAATAAGATGTTCCTGAATAAAATAATGAATAGAATCATACCAGTAGAATTTCTTGCTATCTAGAACCCTATCGATGGAATTTTTGACTTCCCCTTGATATCTAGAATATGTCCAGAGTAAATTCGGAGGTTTGCTTGCAGTTTGGAATTTTACCAGAATAAATCCATTCTTTTTCTTAAAATGTAGAACCATACCAATAAAATTTCTTGCTATTTAGAACTTTGTCGATGCAATTCTTGTCTTTCTCTTGCTATCTAGAATATATCCACTGCGAAGCTCATCCTGCACTCAACCCGAACTCAATTCAAACCAAATCCGAACCCAACCTCAACCCAAACCCAAAACGAACCTAACTGGGATCCACCGTGAACTCAACACGAATTCAACCTGAACCCAAATCCAATCCAACCCAAACCTAACGCGAACCTAACCTGAATTGCTTTTAATTAATTGTGTTAAAATAATTATATAACTAAGATGGTTGAATCACATCAATGTAATTCCAGAGTTCATCTAAAACCTGGAGAATAAATCCAGACTTTTCCTTGCAGTTTGGAGTCTGACCAGAATAAATACAATGTTTTTTTTTAATTTAGAATCATACCAGTAAAGTGTCCAGAATAAATCCATAGTTTTTCTTGCAGTTTAGAGTTTAGCCAAAATAAATCCAGTATTTCTCTTAAAATCTAGAATTATGTCAGTAGACTTTCTTGCTATTTGTCGATGCAATTCTTGTCTTTCTCTTGTTATCTAGATTCTTCCAATGTAGTTCCTTTCACGATTAACACCTTCCCAGAACAAATTCCAACTTTTTTGCAGCTTACCACTTCGAAACTTATCCTGAAATCAACCCGAACCCAACTCAAACCTAAGACGAACCCAACTGGAATCCAACCTGAACCCAAGTCCAACTCAACCCGAACTTCGAGTTGAGGTTCACCCACTGCAACTGTTACTTTTCAAAAACGATAAGTATATGTTTACGTTGGCTGCTCTCGCTTCGAAATTAATACTCTTCGATGAATTATGAGCCATCCGATTTATAATTAATACCATTTTGAAGTTATTAAATCAAAAAATTATTATTATTCTCACTTTTTCTTGTTATTTGCTCCCTTTAGTCATTGTAAGTCTACCTACCGTAAATCCAGAACTTTTCTTGCAGCTTGGAATCTGACCAGAACAAATCCAGTGTTTTTTTTTTAAATCTAGAATCATACCAGTGGAATGTCTTGCTATCTAGAATATGTTCAGTGCAATTCCAAACATTTCTTTCATTCCTGAAGTCTACCCAGAACAAATCCAGACTTTTTCTTGCAGTTTGCAGTTTGGCCAGAATTAATCTCACTTCATTCTTGCAGCTTGGAATCTGACCAGAATAAATACGATGTTTTCTTTTAATTTATAATCATACCAGTACAATGTCCAGAATATCTTCAGCCTTTTTCTTGCAGTTTGGAATCTGACCAGAATAAATCTAGTGCTTTTTTTTAAATTAGAATCATATCAGTAGAATGTCTTGCTACTAGAACTCTATACACGCAATTATTAGCTTTATCTTACTATCTAGAATATGATGAAGGCAATTCCAGACGTATCTTTCATTCCTGCAGTATGCCCAGAATAAATCCAGACTTTTTCTTGCAGCTTAAAGTCTAACCAGATCAAATTCAGTGTTTTTTTTTAAATCTACAATTATACCAGTAGAATATCTTGCTACCAAGAACTCTATACACGCAATTATTAGCTTTATCTTACTATCTAGAATATGTTGAGTGCAATTCTAGACATTTCTTTCATTCTTGCAGTCTGCCCAGAATAAATCCAGACTTTTTCTTGCAGTTTAAAGTCTAACCAGATCAAATCCAGTGTTTTTCTTTTAATCTAGAACAGTGGTTCTCAAACTATGGTACGCGTACCACTGATGGTACGCGTACCACTGATGGTACGCGAGAAGTTCTCAAGTGGTACGCAAAACAGTTTATATTTGCATTATCATTATTGTTTTTTTTTGTTCAGTGGTACTACCTGATTTTTAAAATAGCCTTAGTGGTACGCAAGGATATAAGTTTGAGAACCGCTGATCTAGAATCATACTAGTAGAACATCTTGCTATCTAGAACTCTATACACGCAATTATTAGCTTTATCTTACTATCTAGAATATGTTCAGTGCAATTCCAGACATATCTTTCATTCCTGCAGTATGCCCAGAATAAATCCAGACTTTTTCTTGCAGCTTAAAGTCTAACCAGATCAAATTCAGTGTTTTTTTTTAAATCTACAATTATACCAGTAGAATATCTTGCTATCTAGAACTCTATACACGCAATTATTAGCTTTATCTTACTATCTAGAATATGTTCAGTGCAATTCCAGACATATCTTTCATTCCTGCAGTATGCCCAGAATAAATCCAGACTTTTTCTTGCAATTTGCAGTTTGGCCAGAATTAATCCAGCTTTATTCTTGCAGCTTGGAGTCTGACCAGAATAAATACGATGTTTTCTTTTAATTTATAATCATACCAGTACAATGTCCAGAATATCTTCAGCCTTTTTCTTGCAGTTTGGAATCTGACCAGAATAAATCTAGTGCTTTTTTTTAAATTAGAATCATATCAGTAGAATGTCTTGCTACTAGAACTCTATACACGCAATTATTAGCTTTATCTTACTATCTAGAATATGTTCAGTGCAATTCCAGACATATCTTTCATTCCTGCAGTATGCCCAGAATAAATCCAGACTTTTTCTTGTAGTTTGCGGTTTGACCAGATTTAATCCAGACTTATTTTTGAACCTGAACCCAATCCCAAGTTTTCGCAAGTGTTACTTTTCAAAAAAGATTTTGAGTCTGTATTATGGAAAGATGATGATAACTACAGTTTGGGAGTGCTACGTTTTTTAATGAATATTAAAAATGCAAAATAAACCGAGTTGGTGAAAGTTCGGTGTCAACTTGAGAATATGAGGCATGCTTTAAAAGTTGAGAAGGGATTTTGGGTAATATATGATATACAGGATTTTGGGTTAGTTTCATTAAAACGAGCAGATTGAGGACTAATCCCAGATACTTAATGGTAATTCTGACGAAGGGAATTGATTTTTTCGCAATTCATGATATTTTCTTGATGTTTGGACTTCTGCCTAATTCTAATTCTTTTTCTGTATGATGTCTAGTCGTTGTAAATTAAGTCTGGAGTCTCACCAATGTAATTTTAACTTTAGTCATAAAGCTTGGAATCATCTTAAAGCTGT